AACATACCCAAGCCACCATACTCTTGAAGAAAACAAGGCAAACCCAATTTTCATAGCTTGAAAATTATGGCCTGGGCAATGTAGTCAATATAAAATCAGGGAAATGGATTTATCATAGTTGAAAATTTCATAAAAGTATGTATATGTGTGTGTGTGTGTGTGTATATATATATATATATATATATATATATATATATATATATATATATATATATATATATATATGATTGATTGATTGATTGATTGATTGATTGATTGATTGATTGATTGATTGATTGATTGATTGATTGATTGATTGATTGATTGATTGATTGATTGGCCTCTGAATCATGGTAGTAGGATTATACTATACTATGTGGTTGGAAACTCAGTAACCAGTACCTCATCACCATTTTATCTGCTTCCCACTCTCAGCTTTCAAATGATTATTGACCTTTAACAATCATTTGGGGTCAAAATCTACCCTTCCTAGGAAAAGCAGTATGCAATTTATCCCATAATTTCAAGAGAAACACATTTGTCTTCTTGTTCATACATTGTTTTGAGATTCAAAAAAGGGATTTTTTTAAATATTTGCCAACCCTGCAAACGTTTGCAAACTCAATGAATATATCCTATATTTTCTAGTAAGTCCTTTGAGGACAATGTAATATCCATTTTCTTTTACTTTTAATACCTAAAAGAATGATTTTTGGGGGGGTAAATAACATGGGGTAAAACCCACTCTAAAAATTTTGAAGGCTTGGCAAACACAGGGGAGCTCTTCAAGGGCTAGTGGATCTCAAAATAGAGTTCATCACTGAATGGCTAGATGCACTAATGGCCATTTTTAGGAGTAACGGTCCCCTTGAAGGAAACAAACTTACCGCAAATCTCAACTTCCCCTCATCCCCCTCCCCCAAGTAATATAAAAAATAAATAAAAGCAGATGAGTAAAACGTGCATGACACACCAAACTCTAATGTCTACGTCAGTGGAGGAGCATATTCATCCAACAGCCCTTGGACCCGTACCTCACCACCCTGAACTGAGGATGCAGCAACTTGGTAGCAGATTGACGTAAAACATGATGAAGAGGATGTACACACCTTCCTGAATAGCCTCTGAGAACCCCCACCCGCAGAGGTAGGGTAGTATATGTAGATGTTGTGGTCCTCGGCAGAGACAGGCTTCTCTACGAAGGGCTTGTTAAAGATGATGCCATTGACTTCTACATGATCTTCACCTTCAATTAGCTCCCGCTCTGGAAGGAGGACGAATATGGATTGTTGAATTGAGGATAGGAAGGAAATTCTGTTTCCAAATCAGTCCCTCTCTCATTTTCAAATGGTGGGGACATTTACCAAATCTAAGTCCTTTCTGGTGCCCATTACCTTATAAGCTCTGGTTACTCACTCATTACCATTATCTTCAAGGAATTACCATATTTGGCAAGAAATACACAAGAAGTATAAGCTTTTGGAATATCCTCTTTCAGGAACTTTTTTCCTTTCCCCACTTCAAACTGCCCCTAGAAGCTGACCAACACTAACCTGAGATCTCAATGAAGCATTTCCCTACAAGTTACTAAATTTCTCAAAATATATTTCCATTTATAATGCACTGCTCCAAACCCCTAGGATGGCCTTGACACGCACTAGAATTGGGGCTCTTGCTAGAACTTTCAAGTCACCTAGTAAAGTAGGGAACTGCAACCAACAATGTCTGTATGCAAACCACTTATCCTAGCCTTCCTCCTTCCTTCTTCTTTTCCCTCCCCATTCCTCCCCCATCTCCCTCCTCCTTCCCCATTCCTCCCACACTTTCTCTCTCTCTCTTCCTCTCTCTCTCTCTCTCTCTCTCTCTCTCTCTCTCTCTCTCTCTCTCTCTCTCTCTCTCTTCTCTCTTCTCTCTATCTCTCACTCTCTCACTCTCTCTCTCACTCTCTCATCTCACTCTCTCACTACTTCACTCTCTCACTCTTTCTCTATCTTCACTCTCTTCACTCTTTCACTCTCACTCTTTCACTCTCTCACTTTTCACTCTCTCTCTCAACTCTTTCACTCTCACTCTTTCACTCTTCACTCTCTCTCACTCTCTCACTCATCACTTCACTATCTCACTCACTCACTCTTTCACTCACTCTCTCACTCACTCACTCTCACTCATCACTCTCTCACTCACTCTCACTCTCTTTCCTCACTCACTCTCTTCACTCACTCACTCACTCTCTCACTCACTCTCACTCACTCACTCCTCACTCACTCACTCACTCATCTCACTCACTCACTTCACTCACTTCACTCACTCTCTTCACACTCTCACTCTCACTCACTCACTCACTCTCACTCACTCACTCACTCACTCACTCACTCACTCCACTCACTCACTCAACTCACTCACTCACTCACACTCCTCACTCTCTCACTTCACTCACTTCACTCACTCACTCACTCACACTCACTCTCACTCACTCTCACCACTCTCTCACTCACTCTCTCATCTCTCACTCACTCACTCACTCACTCACTCTCTCTCACTCACTCACTCACTCACTCATCACTCACTCACTCTCATCACTCACTCTCTCACTCACTCCCTCACTCTCACTCACTCACTCTCTCTCCACTCTCACTCACTCACTCTATCACTCTCTCACTCACTCACTCACTCACTCACTCACTCACTCTCACTCCACTCCTCACTCTCACTCACTCACTCTCACTCACTCTCCTCTCACTTCACTCACTCACTCTCACTCACTCACTCACTCACTCACTCTCACTCACTCATCTCTCACTCTCACTCCTCACTCACTTCACTCAACTCACTCACTCACTCACTCACTCACTCACTCACTCACTCACTCTCTCACTCTCTCACTCACTCACTCACTCTCACTCACTCACTCTCACCCACTCACTCTCACTCACTCACTCACTCACTCACTCTCACTCACTCACTCACTCACTCACTCAACTCACTCACCCACCCACCTACAGACCCATCCACACACTCACTTACTCACACACTCATTCGCAATTACATTTACATTTATGCTCACAACTCCCTTTCTTCTTTTGCCGCTCTCCCTCTCCCACTCCCTGTAACTAAAAAAATTACTTTATAAATTTTCTAATCTCTTGTATTGTAGAGCTTGGAAGCTCTATACCCTCTCTTTCCTTCTCAGATTTACTCATCCACAGATTTACCCACTCCCTAATTTACTCATTCATTCACTCACTCAATTATTCCCTTACTCACTCATTTAATTACTCAATACTCATTCACTCACTCACACACTCACTTATAATTACAGTTACAATTCTACACATAATTTGTTGCCTACTTTTGGTCTCCTTTCCTTGTCTTTAACACAATAAAAATTACTTACTGGAAGGATCTTTTGAATCTCTGTCTAGAATTGCAAATCTTGGAAGCTCAATGCCTTCTCTTTGCAAAATCTGGTACACTTTTCTTCTGTCCTGTAATGTTATGGAAAAAAAAGGGTTATATCTCTTAAAATTGTAACGGAATACACTGTAAGAAACTCCAGATCAATTGTATATTCATCATCTTCCATTGGAGATAATCCAAGTAAATGTGTTGCATGATATTGCAAAATGTGTGCATGTGTATGATTTATCTAAGGACACCCTATCTGATGGGATAGTAATGACTTTCATGCTCATGCAGTTTTGATATCGATGTGTGTGTGTGTGTGTGTGTGTGTGTGTGTGTGTGTGTGTGTGTGTGTGTGTGTGTGTGTGTGTGTGTGTGTGTGTGTGTGTGTGTGTGTGTGTGTGTGTGTGTGTGTGTGTGTGTGTGTGTGTGTGTTGTGTGTGTGTGTGTTGTGTGTGTGTGTGTGTTTGTGTTTGTGTTGTGTTTGTGTTTGTGTGTGTGTGTTGTGTGTTGTGTGTTTTGTATATGTTTGTATGGTCATCCTCTTATCCACCTGAAGGTCATACTGCATATCGAGGTTATTGATGACATAAGGCTTTCGCAGATCTGTATAAGCCTGCGCCTTCTCCAATGGGAAGCCCTTCGAGTGGAAGCTGATGAGGCAGTCACAAATGGGCCATTTTTCTACAGGCTCCTGAGGTAACAAAGAGAGTGAGAGAGTATTAGCCTAGCTATTGAAAGGTCCTGGAGGAGGGGGGGGGGTCGGGATACTTGGTTCACTCCTAACTATTAGGTGGGTACCTGGTACTTGGTGGAGGGTAGAAAAACTAGTGCAGAAAAAAAGAAAAGGCCTCATATAGTGATACCTAATTCACTAATTCCTGTTGGGGGAGTTAGCTGACTTCTAATGAAAGATCTTGGGATGGATATCAAGGTTAGATCGGTGTTAGTACATGAATTTTGGTTTATGTTTTGGTTTAGGATAATTCATCTTTAGGACAGTACAAGGGCTTTTGTGTTCTATGACTGGTTTCCCTATGTTGCAGAAAAGGTTGGATGAGAATGAAAGTTTAAAAGAATCTCTGTTTGGTTTTCAAATACCTAGTCAAAGAGAAACAAATAATAATAATAAAGACAATTTCATCAACAATCTTTAATACCTATTCACACAGCTGGATTACCTATTGGGTAAACATACTACTCCCATGGCATAGAAACAGAATATTTCTCTCTTCTTATCCTTTTTTTCCACTTCCTCTCATCTATTCTTAATCTTTCTACACAACTTTATTTTACTTTACCCCTTTTCTCTTCCTTTCCTTCCTTATTCCATGAAAGTCAAGATTTCTCTTCCAGTCCTTCCTTACCTATTCCCTCTCTCCTCCTTACCTCTCCTCTCCCTACCCTATCTTATCCTCCTTCCTTCCCTCTCTCCTTCCTTCCCATTCTCCCCTCACCTTAAGAATGACGTCCTCAGGAAAGATAACAGGTCGGAGGAACTCAAACTCCTCCAGGCGGGAGAGGATCTCCTTCATGGGCTTAGAGCGGGATTTCTTCTCCATGGCGCAGATCCCAACCACCACCTGCTTGAAAGGCGCTGCCATTGCTATCTCGTTCTC